ATCATTATGTGCCTGATGCGTTTGCTGTAGTCATCCCTGCAAGGTCTTGCAACTCACACTATCTCAGCATTTGCAACTTTGAACCTCATTAAAGCCTTTTGTAGTGTACCAGCCCAGTAAATATCTGCAATATTTTATCGTGCATCACACCTGCATTACATTTTTCTTTGCTGTGTGTTCTGTAATGATGTTTTGCACACCGAACTTTTCAGTTATCATCTAAAACGCTAAAAGTTGCAGGTTCTTGAAATAGTTTTTCTCTCATGCTTGGGGGAAACATTTCATATCTGTAACACTGTCACTCGAGCGTCTGTAACAGTCTGTCACTCCAGCTTCTATAACAGTCTGTCACTCCAGTTTCTGTAACAGTCTGTCACTCCAGTTTCTGTAACACTGCCACTCCAGCTTCTGTAACAGTCTGTCACTTCAGTTTATGTAACACTGTCACTCCAGCTTCTGTACCACAATCTGTTACTCCAGATTCTGTAACAGAACAGAATAATATTAATTATACCCCCAAAAATTACTTGGTGCTGGAAAAAAGACTGGATAAAGCTGTTGTTGTTAAAGCCTGGCGGATGGACATAGTCGAGTTAGAGGTGCATACAGATCGAGTGGTCAATACTAGGCATTGTTTGTAACACTAGATATCTCAATTCAGTTACGTGTTACAAGTGATCCATTTTGTTCTGTGTTCTCTCTCACTCCTCCAGTACACCTGAGAACCAATTCCAGCAACAGGAACTCTAGTGTTCTAATAGTACATATTTCTACATACGTCTTGAAATGTGTACACTCCTCATAGTCTTGAAAAAAATCTATTATTTGCAATATTTAAATTAACAACTTAATCTCTGAATACATCTTAAAACATTAAATAATACAGATGTTATATATATATATATATATATATATATATATATATATATATATATATATATATATATATATATATATATATATATATATATATATATATATATATACTCTTCAACACTAAGCTTATTTACGGTTAGCGCTTCTGAAACTAATTAAATCATTGTCAGCATTGTGTAAATTAAACACTTACACCATGACGTGTGTAAATCCAATTTCTCGAGCACTGGAGTCTTCTCTAGCTCTTCCATTATTGCAACGTTGCACGCTTCAAGAAATGTTAATATTGACAAGACTGCGAGGAATTCCAGCACTTGAAACACAAAGATTCAACATTTTTATCATCTCCTGTAAAGGCCATTATTTAGTTAAATATAATTAACAGCAAAGTTTCCAAGAATGCAATTGCTTACCTGCACCTAAATCTTTACTAACACTGTGAACGGTCCTTGTGTTGCAACAATAAAGTTTATTGCTGCAACTATTATTATATAATTATTCGGCATTTGTAATGTTGCAATTAACAAAGATATTGAAAGGTCGATGTTTATGGATAAGCAATGAATCAACACAATCTGGTGTTGACTGTAACACAACTTTCTTTATATTTACGATGTTCGTTGCATTCGTGCAAGAAATGCTGAGGTCTGCAACAATAAAAGGAATTAGATGTTTTACGTTCGATATTACAAGTACAATATGTTGTGTTCTGGCAACTGTGCTACATGTTCCATGGGCCGGATTCAGGAAGGTACTTACGAAGGTTTTTCCTCTTAGCTAAGAACGAATTCCGTCTTAGCGCCTTCGTGGCGGCTAGGTCCGTATTCAATTAGCTACCCTAAGTGGAAAAAACTTCGTAAGTTCATTCCGGGATTTAAGTGTGGTTTCGACCACTCGTAGCTTTACGTAAACTGGATATAAGTCATTTTTTCTCTACTACATAACACTGGGATCGATTTATGATATTGGAACATGACCAAAATATTATAGCTGGTGAATCTAGTGAAGAGGAGTCCTTCGTGTTAGTTATATATGCATTCTCTGCTTGAAACTTGAAGTAAATATGTGTTTGATGATAGTAGAATTAGTTTTATAATAGCAAGATATTATACCAGTAGTTATTAAGTAAATAAACACTGGTGAACATGAAATATGAGAGAAGGTGATGAGCCCTGCCTGATGGGATCATTTACTATCACCAAATGCCCCTGTTCACCTAGTAGTAAGGGTGTACCTTAGCTATACATACCCATTTCTAATTTATTTAGTTTGGTTTTATTTTGAAATTAAATCTGGGTGATACATAAAATAAAAATATGCTGCACAAATGATGTTAGGTAAGGAGAAGGGTAAAAATGTCAAACTTTATTCATTGAATACTTAAAGCTATAATTATGACTATATACTGTAGATTATTAAAAAAGAGAGAGGGAAGTAGGGGTCCAAAACCTCTTCCTGTTATATAATTTGGGTGTGGAACAAGTAATTATCAAAAGAAAGCACCATGCCAGGAAGGCTATGTAGCAGTAAGGCAGTGAGGTGAGGCAGCTACTTATTTGAGAAATGCTTATTTTATTTACCTTATAAGCTGAGGCAGCTTATTTTATTTGAGGAATACTCAGCTGATTCCTCTACATTTAGCATGGAACAAATTTGTGTCCAAGACCTCTTCCTGTTACTCAATTTGGCTGTGTGTAACCAAACTAGAAGTGCTCTACAAATCAAGGGACCCAGAATGTGGAATGACCTCCCGAATCATGTCAAAGGCTGTACACCTCTCAACCAGTTTAAGAGTTAAACCAACTACTGCCTAATTAACTCCATGTAACCTAACTTACCTCCTAAATGTCAACCCATGTCTTGCTATTTTTTAAATAACGCTGTTCACCAACATGTGCAATTGCTGATTTATGCTATGTTAACCCCCTTTTTGTATTTTTTATTCCTTCTTTCAACACAATTTATACCTAATCTCGATTGCTATTAAGTTTTAGTCTGTGTTTTTTTCCCCCCACACCTTGCCCGAAATGCTATGAGTATTAGTGGCTTTAGGTATTGTATGTACTAGCTCTGTCTATAAATCCAACATTATGGTTGTAAATCAACTGTATGTACTTTTCCTGAATAAAATGTATTTATTATTTATTTTTTAATCAGTAAGTATTAAAAGAAGGCACCAAGCTGGGAAGGCTATGTAGCACCATTGTGTGTAACAATAAACCAAATTTTTTTTTAACAAATAATGCACCTGTATGGTAAAACAAATCCTGTCAGCTGTAAAAATATTGATGCAGTTATTTAAATGAAAAATATAATGAAAGAAATATTACTGGTTTATTTTTATCCTATCTTTTTGTACTGTACAGTATATCCAAGGAAGTGAAAAATTGAGACATAATGTACAATTTAATGAATGATTAGCATGGATTAGCAGTTCAAAAGAAATATGACTTGTATTACATATCAACATGAGATCTTAATGATCCATGGTCAACATGATTTAATAAGGATAATACAGTACTGTATTTGTAATAATACAAACTATAATTTAAAATCTTTATTACTGATTTTTTTTATTAAGGAGATTAGGTATACACAGCAATGTGCTGCTACCCTATTCTATATGGAATATTACACAGTGTAGATAAAAAACTAGCTATAAGTTTATCTAATACTCCCATCTCACAGGATGGTTAGACATACTGTACATGGAATCAATTTAGAAAATACCAGCCTCAATACAAAAAACAAATCAACTCTGACTAAACAACTCTAAGCAATTTTCACAAGAGGTAAGCACTGAATCATGGAAACATTATATTATAATTACTCTTACCAGTTTCTACAAAACTCCTCTCAAACAATGTATTTTTAAACATGTTTAGGTATACATAGCAATGTGCTGCTTCCCTATTCTGTATAAAGGACCACACAGTGTAGATAAAAAACCAGCTACCAGCTCACCCAACATCCTCACCTCACAGGATGGCCAGTCATACATGGAATTAGGAGAGAACAAAATACTTAATGCTGATCTATTAGCCTCCACTGGCAAAATCTGGGTGCAGCACAAGAATATCTTCCAATAATCCTGAGTGTATGAAGTAATTACAGAGCTCAAAATACCTCATACCATTTGGTATGAAGTCACTGATAACAGGACAATCACAGATATAGTGTTGGAGAGTATGTTCTCTCAAGTAGGACTGAAAACAGATGTTTTTTTTCCACCAAGAGGGCTATAAACCCATGGAACCGCCTACCCGCTGAAGCCGTAAATGCTAAATTCCAGCTAAAAAATATCATTAAGACAATTGGCGGGCCCTTTAACAAGCCGCCGGCTTTCTGTCCTCTTCGAGGCCACTAGATAGTTAGTGGCCCTTGGGTAAATTCAGTAAATATATACAATAATTGTCAGCACATCTTCCGAGCAACAAGGACAGCTACACAGTATCTCTTAGAATTACGTAGGTAAACAACAAATGTAACATATTTGTTTACTACAATGTCGATGCTGGCTGTAGAAGTTGAAAAAACATTGTTTTACTTCGAAATATACTAATTTTATAAGAAAATTCGACGTAAATAGGCGGCAGTAGAGCTCCGATAAGCTAGCGCTAAATCTTCAATATGAAGAATGTTGCTGCTCTCTGATTGGCCAAACGAAACACAGTAGTGACCTCCATCGGCACGCAGGTGAACCAACAATTTTCTTCCTAAGTATACCTTATTGAATCGCACCTAAGCATCTTCTTAGGGCGCACTTAGGAACCTTCGTAGCAAACCCACTTACGAAGAAATACACAGAGCTTCCTGAATCTAGGTCCATGTGTGCTGGCGGTTTACACACGACTCACAACTGATGACGTTCGAACACTTCCGGAACAAGTGCTTCACTGACGAATTTTGTTCGAACCACAACGCTGTAAATGCTTCACCCATGTACTACAAATACAAATAATCGCTAACAGAACCTAAACACCTAACCTAACCAGTGTTTAAATGTGCGCAGTATGTTAAGGTTATTTTATAGTTGAATATATATAATATATACATATATATACAAATAATATCAACTTAGGCTAAAGGATTTCATATTTCAGCACTCTGATATTGCTCGTGAAGGGAGAGCTTGACCGGGGCACTGCCTCGTTCTACCCTAAACAAGCAGTTCAGAGGTGGAGGGAGTGATTGAGGGGGCGAGGACGGTGTTGGTGGTCATTCTGTGTCCAGCCGTCACGGTGGTGGGAGGTAGGTTGGCTGTGTGGTCCCAAGACGGGCTTCTTGTTCGAGACTCTTGCCTTATGTGTTCTTGAGACGCTGTGAAGCTTTTATTGTTTGTTAACACAAATGAGGGGTTAATATAGCGGGGACTTTACTGTATAATGCTGTGTTTGGTCTAGTTTGCTATGCTATCTTCAACGTGTTGATTTTGGGGGATTTTAAGGAGGTGGTTGATTTACGAAGTCTACTTTTACAGTCTTGGAGGTGATGAGTGGTGATCTTGGACGTCCCTCCCTCCATCTTGACACGTAACTAATTTGTACATTGGAGTGCTGTTTGACTTGTCAATTTTTTTAAGTTCAATTTTATTTTTAACTAGCGGTACAAATTATAGTAAATAATTTGAACAAGTTTTGTTTTTCAATCAGCCACTCTGGCAAGACTGCTTTTTAACAATTAATAACTTGCATAGCAAAAGCGTGGGGGCGGAGAGTATTTTTATGCATATAAACTTGTTAAATGTCTTGCAAATCGTGATAAATAACTTCATTACAGGATTAGTTAAGTGTCTTGATGACTGGAGAAATTTTGCAAACGAGCCTTGCGTCACCTAATGATCGGAGAGACTGGCCTGCTGGTTGAAGTATTAGATTTGTACTAGGCTACAGCTGCACCTGTACTTCGACCATACTCGCTATCGCTGCTAGGTGAGTGGGATTGCATTTTACACTAGTTTCTACGTGGAAATTTTATGGAATAGAAATTTTAAAAAGCCTGGCATAGCTCGTATTTTGTTCCTTTAAGAGCGCTCGTTGGCAACAGTAACGATAACTGGATTTTATGACCGTAATAGTTGCTCTATTTGAGTTTAATGTAGATCTCAAATGGTGAATGTCTTGTAGCTGTTGTGAAAATTTTATTGATAAAAAAAACTACAGATTTTGAAGTTTAGCATAAACTGTCTTTAAAGCAGTCGGTCATAAGGAGTTATAGTATTTTGCTGGGCTTTAAATATAAATTGTTGTAGGCAACAGCTGTCTAGTTGGATTTGATATTGAACCTACCATATATTTTTGTTCTGACTTTAGTGCAACATAAAAGGTTGAAAATTGTCATTAGTACGTACTTGCGTTAGGACAGGTTTATTAACCTGTCCTAACAATTTTTCTAAATTGTAAACTTTAAAGTAAGGATTGGAGCACACTAGCAAGTCTTGTTGAACTTCGTGGTATATTCCTTTGACTTGAGGAAAGAATACAGAAGTCGGTCTTGTTATTAAAGATCTCTCATTGCCTGATCAGGTCACGTTACTAGACTACCTGCAGTTTAGATTTACCAATAAACATAAATATAACTTTGCGCAAACGTTTACCTGAAGGTAATTGACACCATTCCCTAAATCTAGCCCTGTAGCTTGTCTCATGGATACTACGTAATAATGTCAAAATTATCACAAATAAAAGGTCACTATATACGCAAACAGCAGCGTGCCTCTGTCGTCTGGGACTTTTCCTTCTCTGGGATGTTCTGCAGTAGTCTGATTAAGGGGGTACTGCACCAACTTCTGGCTGGGGAGGGATTCTGCATAAGAGAATATCAGTGGGAGGGACGGGGGCTGAATAACCAATGGGCGGTTGGTTGGCAGAGGCTGACGGCAGTTAGTCAATTTTAGACATAAAATAGTTAATGTACTTTTCCTCTAACTTCCATCTCAAATAATGTAGCTTAGCCAATTTCCTTAAATAGTTGTTAGAAAAACGGTGAATATGGGACTAGTGAAGAGTCAATATTGGGGAAGCATTAGTCGTGATTGCATACATCACTCGCAACAATCAAAACTACAGATCCCTCAGAAGTAGTAGACATATTCAAACACTGGCAGGAAATCTTCAATCCCCACCCCCCACAGCCAACAGCAATACAAAACATAAACAGAGTAGAAACATGGATATGACACAACCCTCATGCCATCACACACCACCCTACCATTGACCTCGCGACACTAGACGATTTAGAAAGTGACCTCACAGAATCAATACTACCTGAAGAAGTTAAACTCGTGCTCAAGAACACCAGACGTAAAGCCCCAGGAGCCTCTGGCATTGGCCAAGCTCTCCTCAAGCAACTTCCAGACCCCTAATCTTGGCACTAACAGACGTCTACAACGCCTCACTAGCAACAAGATATTTCCCAAGCCCATTCAAAGAAGCCACAGCAATCCTCATTCCAAAACCCCAAAAATCCCCGACAGACCCCAAGAACTACAGACCGATCAGCCTACTAAGAGACATTAGGGAAAGTATACGAAAAACTCATTAATCATAAACTCAGGTATCACCTAGAACACAAACATATTGACAAACAATTTGGCTTCAGACAACACCGCTCAACACAAGACGCACTGAACATAACTACCTCTCCATAAATAAACACCAGAGGGCCAAGACGGCCCTCATTGCAAAGTACGTCGAAAAAGCTTTTGACACTGTATGGCACGACGGCCTACGTTACAAACTCTGCACTCTATTTCAACTGTCTGACAACATGCAGAGGCTACTTTGCAGCTTTCTAACAAATAGAAAGATGCAAATCAAGTTCCTCAGCAAGCTGTCAGGTTACTTGAACCTAAATGCAGGTGTCCCCCAGGGCTCAGTTCTCTCACCAACCTTATACATACTCTATATAAACGACATCCCTGACCCAATATACTGGACATCAATGACCCTTTGCTACGCTGACGACGTAACTCGACTGATCTCGGACTATAAGATTAACGCCCTCACACGGAAAGCACAACAAGAAATAGACAGTCACCCTCTGGGAACACGACTGGCGAATAAAAACAAACCCCAACAAGTCTAAAATTACATACTTTTTCTACAACAAACGACGTAACCCTGCCCCAGTAAAACTCTACTCTCAACCACCAGATGCAACCCAGATCCCAAGAGTCTACAACACCACAGTACTTGGACTCGCATTAGACTATAACCTTCGCTTTCACACACGCATAACACCCAAGAAAGCTATAGCCTCAAACGCTCTTATCAAAACTCTACCCACTCAAATATGCCTCCCAAGCCACCAAGTTCTATCTATACAAAACACTTATTCGCCCACTCCTAACATATGCACCGATCCCACTCACACTTGCAGCACCAACAAATAGGAAAAAACTCCAGCGTACCCAGAACAGGGCTCTGAGATGGGTGTTACATACCCATTGGCAGGACTTCACCACCAGTAAGGCCCTGCATGAGTGGGCGAACATCCCACCTCTTAACATAACCTGGGATACTATGGGGAAGAAACAGATTGACAGAATTCTCACTTATGACAACTACGACACGTTCCTCAGAAACGTCCTAAGCAGACCCAGACATACGCACAACCTCTTTAACCTGATCGACGATCCACCTCCTGCTCCGTCCTTTACATAACCCCTCTCCTGTAATATCACTACTCAAATCACCAAACTTCCAACTATAGCCTCCTAACTCTTCTCCCCCCTCTTTCGGGGGGTGGGGGACCAACTAGCTCCCGTTTTCTGGTGCCTTGGGTGAGGCACGATGCTGATTAACAGATCTAAGACCACATCTGGTGTGAGCCTCCAGGGCACACCCAGCTGAGGGCTGCTGTCTCCGTGGATGCTCAAAAAGACGAAATGTTGTCAGATCCGATTCCTTGCCTTCACTGCCTAGTCTGGTCATAACGATTTCAATGCCATGCAGCTGGGTCTAGCCCTGGCTCTTTACCTCATACTGAAAACCCTTCCTCTCACCCCCACTAATTCTTCCCCTATCCCCACTTCCACGCTCACCCATTAGGGTATCTTGACCTATATTTAATTCATTCGTGATTGGTACGCTGTGTACAAAGTGTTTGGGGGAGGGGAAGGTGTACAAATTTCAGAAAGTTATCAATAAAGGCGGATATCTGCCAGTTGACGATGAAAAATTGTAATTTTGGCCTGTCTTGGGGCCGTCTTTGGTCCCCCCCCTGGGGGTTGGGTTGGGGGGTTGGGGGGGTTGGAAATAGCCCATGTCATGCTATCTTTTGATATGATGGTGGTCGCTGGAGGCGGGTAGTTAATTATGCACCCTGTACTCATCCTGTGAGAGGTAGCGCAAAAATTAGATGGCGGGAATAATTTATCGGACCTCAACGGAGAATATTACATTAACAAATTCATCTATCCTTCACGCCTTGTAATTACAATAAGCTAGTTAATGTTTTATTTAAAGGGCTATATATTATACATTAATGGTCTTATCGCCAATATCTCGTAACGGAAAACCGCCCCAAGGAGCAGTGGGCCGCCTCGGCCCCCACTAAAGAGCTCGCATTTGGCAGTACCCATGTCAACAAGACGGGTATAAACTCTAAATCCCAATCTAAATTAGTGGCCCTTCATCTTGGACTAAATTCACACTGAATAAGCGTACTTGCAACGGGGCGATAGTTAAGATAGCAATTTGAATGCGGGTGGCACTGTGACGGCTCAAATGGTTGGGATGAAAGAGGCTACGACCTTAATGACTACTTTCCTCGGCTCTGTGGCCAGCAGAAAACCACTTTTTTTTTTAATGGACACATTCCTGTCGATCCCTTGCTTCCCCCCCCCCACCCCAGCTGGAGCCGCGATATTCCCCCCCTTCCCTGAGCGTTAGTGGTGTTGGACTTCATAGGGTATATCCACCCTGGATTGCCTATTAATGTGGTGCGGCCAACTACTGCGAAGCGGTGAAATCAAACTAGTAAAAGCAACTGGAAGGTTGATAATCTTGGTCTCTATAGCATAAGATACTTGGTCCCTTCCCCCCCCCCCCAACCCCCGGGTAGTTAATGCCCTCAGCGTTCCCAGGCTCATTGACACTGCTAGAGATATGCTAGTTTAAAGTTTCTCTTGTGGCGATCCAGTGTTGGGGGGTGGGGGGGGGGCGGGGGAGATAGGATTCCTGCAATGTCCTAACTTCGTGTCTGGAAAGTAGAGAAGCTCGAAGAAATTTCCACAATTTGTACCACAATGGACTGAACGCCCACAGGTCCTTCCCTGTCAGGGCTAGAAACGTTGTGCCAAGGACCCGGGTTAGATACATGGTTATGGTAGAAACAAATGGGTATAATTCTTTTGATGCGCCTGTTCACCTGGCAGTAAAAAAGTACCCGGGAGTAAAGTGGCCGAAAGTAATGACCATGGCACTGAAGGTACAAACCCAGGGTACATCCTGGGATTGTAAAAATGTGTAGATATTATAGAAAAATTAATGGTTCTTATTCCTTTTCCTGGTAATCTGTTACTTGGTGCAAATTGATACAAACCTCAGACTAACGGTTAGTTCCCAGCAGGTTAAAACATTGCAGTCGTTAAACTCCAGGCTCTACGTAACAAGTTATTAGTGTGGATAGGACTTGTTCAGTGTGTGGGGGGGGGGGGTTAATTTTGTACTTTGATATAATTGTCTTTCATTTATTAAACTAACTTGCAGAGTAAAGAGCTGCAAGCTAGCAAATAAGAACTAAAGCCCCAAAACAAAGGATAAAAGCATCCCTCCTTAACCCCCACAACCTCCCTGGCCACATAAATGGCCTTACACAAGTAGTACAGAAACGATAAATGTAAAATTGAAAAGCAAGAAATCTCTTGGGTAATGTATAACACAAAACGCATAGAAATGACAAGAATGATTAGAAACAAAACCTTAAAGCCACTACGCAGTTTTATTTTATGTACGTGTAAATAACTGTACCATTAAAATGGCCCCCCCCCCGGTAAAAGACTTTAAATATACACAACCAGTTACTTGGTAATACACACCACACAATACCGCACATTAGAATCACCCTTAACGGAAAATATAAACCAAATACCCAGTATCCAGTAAACATAAATGAAGGGAAGAAAAAGATGAACAGATGCCTCTGCAAGCACGAACAAAGGCACCAAAGACTAATTAGAGCACAGTAGGTTATAAAGGCTTGCTAAACACACGTGTACTTGTACTAGACAATAGCGCACATCCTACCACTTAGACCAAGCCTGGTAATTGCTGAACTTGCTCGTTGCTCGCCCCTTCACCACTTCCTTGATCAGTGGGCATGGACCCATCCATCGGGAACTACAGAAATTCTCGGTTAACGTCGTTTTCACCAAAGCGATAACCCCAAAGTGAAATTGGGACTATCCATTGGTAGCTTCTCTGTTCAATTCTGCAGTTTGTCGGCTCGTCGGCAGCCGATCAGTTTAGCGGCGTTCCTAGATCCTTCAACCATCAGACTGTTGAAAGAGGTAGACAACCGTCAGAGGTTCACAACAGTGGGATAAAATCGCCGTTTCAACACGGCCACCATCGGCCAGCCGACCGTGGAAACCCCACACTAAAACATTTACTCGGTTGGCCAACATGCGTATAGTACAAAGGTGCAGCCCATCCCACACGAGAGAGAATATTTCTACCTAGCTACATGCGAACAGCACGATTGATGGTTAGGTCTTTGACTGTTCCGGGTGTGACTAGTCTTCACCCCCCCCCCCCACACTCCCTGCACGCCCATCAACTTTGCAATGTGGCACAGGCTAATTACCGATTGTTTGCATTTCTAATGCAAATCGCATGCCTCCGTAAGAAAATGCTCTGACACCCTATCATTTTACCCTGCACGTGAAGTGGAGGAGGAAGGGGGGGGGGGGAAGTGGGGCGGGGGGTGCTGGGTAGGGTTAGGTATTTTAACCAACTAAATTTTACAGGAACTTTCCCAAAGTTCGAAAACTATGAGCAGCCTTCTGCTATATTAGCAGCAGCCCGTCCTCCAAACAGACCCAAAAGTGATCCCATGCACCCGCCAAACCTGTTTTATGAATGGAAAAACGGGTTTTCACAAAACTCAAAACTAATTTTGTTGGAACACTTCAGCAAAGTGTTTCACCAACTAATTTTGTTCGAACCACAACGCTCTAAATGCTTCACCCACGTACTACAAATAAAAATAATCGCTAACAGAACAAAAACGGGTAACCTAACAGATGCATATTTATGCACAATATGCTAAAAATATTATAATTTAAATTTGAGAATTCCCGTTTTGAATGAAGCTTCAAAATTTTAATGCATCTGTGGGGTCGACCGCTGGATGTAAGGGAGTAGTTGATGACAGGTAGATTAGCAGACAAAGCCTAAAAGGGTTAAGGTTCATAAATCCATGTTCCACACGCAATAACTAACGTTTTGACAATCGGAGTCCACATAATCGGATGCAGCGGCTCCGAATGTTCTTTGACTTGGTTTTAAAGATTTTAACTTCTAACTATAGGTAGATTCTTGATTATATGCAACTACTCATTCACGTGTCTAACCTTCGA